AGGCATTCCATTGTGTGCATTATAACAAATTATGAATAACATTAGGAAGAATGGGAATTCCAGAACACTTAATATGCTCATGCGGAACCTGTACATAGAGACAGTTGCTTGAAATTATAAAGAAGCTAGTGACTATAAAATTAATCCACCTGATGACTGCCATATTGATTTTGTTTTGCTTTGTTTTATTTTCATTCAAAGTATAGTCAAAGCTTGACTATAGCCCTCAGGTTTTCACTGGAAGATAATACTTTCTACCTTCACCTTTCCTGCTTTTATCTGCCCTTGAGATGCTATCTCCCTACATCCTAGTCCTTATAGTCTCCCCTGTGCCTCACCCAGGTGGTTATCTTGCCTGCTTAGCCAGCCTCTCCCATTCCGTCGCTCCCCCACCTCTCTCTTCCTCTCTCTCCCTCTCCCCTTCTCCCCACCCCCCTGCCTGTTTAACTTATGTCTCTTGTTTTCCATCTTATTCTTCTCTAATGTATACTGTTCATTTTTTGAGAAAATCAAACTTGAATCCAGGAAAGATGGCAATTGAAATGTAGGTGTCTAACCCTGTTTGCTCTCCTCACAGTCAACTTAAGTGAGCACATATTGTAAAAATAGGGGGTTATGTCTGCGGTAGCCCTGGAATTAGGTGAAAGGGCCATCGCTGCATCACTGAATATAGTACCATCCCGTCAGACCAGAAGACAACATTGAGTCTTGATTCGCAACTCCTCTTGTTAGAAATTAGTTTTATGTCATGGTGAGTAAGTAAACGAGACCCTGGCAGAACCCATCACTACCCCCTAATTTGGAAGGCTGTGGACTAATGGGAAGTACTTATGTTACCTGGAAGTCCTTCTCCCAGAAGAATATACCCCATGAGGTCTAAGGGCTTGCACAGCCACACCGAGTGGGAAGCTAGCTGGTGGCAGAGCTTCTACTGGCATGGGTTTCCCTGACCCACTGCTGGGAGCTTCCTTGACACGTCAGGCAGAGCACCACTATGGAAGCTGGACAGGGCATTCTCATTTACCCACATATTGGGCTCATACATAGCAGTGATAGTGAGGATGGCGCAGGACTGGGCAGTGTTTCGTTCAGTTGTACGTAGGGTCCCTATGAGTCAGAACTGACTCGACGGCACCTAACAACAACTATTTCAAGAATAAATAGATCAACAAAAAAATAAATAAGCTATTCCAGCCAGAAGAAAACCCAAGTATATGAAATGTTTCATCTAATGAAGTTGACATTTCCAATTCATAAGGATGATCTGCTCTGTTCATGAATGATTCTGAATTATTTGGTTAGCTCTTTGAAAAAAAATAAATGTTTTGTATCTAATACCCATTGCCGTTGAGCCGATTCTGACTTACGGCGACCCCCTGTGTTACAGAGTAAGACTGCTCCATAGAGTTTTCTTGGCCATGGTCTTTAGGGAAGCAGATTGCAAGGCCTTTCTTCCACCATGCCACTGGGTGAATTTGATTTAGGTTACTAGTTGAGCACAAACTGTTCGCACCACCAGGGACCCAAGTACCAAATTAAATTCCAAATACATTAAAGATTTAAATTTTGTATTCTTTATGGAATATATATACATACATATATATATATATACACACATGTAATATGTGTGTATATGTGTATATATATACACATGTATATATATAGTTGGTTGAGTAGCCCTTTCTAAGCATGTTGCCATAGAGGGAAATCATAAGGAGAAAAATTTAATAGGTTTGAATACATGGAAAAGCCGTAATAAAAGTACAGTGCCAAAAAAAAAAAAAATCTGTAAATCAAAAGACAAATGGAAAATTGGGGGTAAATATTAGCAGTATTTGATAAAGTCAACGATCTCATCAATCTAAAAAAAAAAAAACAAAAACACTGAACTCATTGCCATCAAGTCAATTCTGATTCATAGTGACCCTATAGGACAAAGTAGAACTGCCCCATAGGGTTTCCAAGGAGTGACTGGTAGATTCGAACTGGCAGCCTTTTGGTTAGCAGTCAGACTTTTAACTCTTAGAAATCTTATGCATAAATAGATGACGACTCCCATAGGAAAATGGATACTCAGTGCCAACAAGAAATGGACAGTGGGACACACATAAATAGACAGTAAATCTAGAAAAAAGTTAACCTCAGATCAAAAGAATGCAAGTTAAGAATGTATTATTGAAATTTCCCATATAAATTTAATAGTGATTAAACAAAATCAAAAAGTTATGAAAAACAAAACACCTATGGATTGCACCTCATAGTGTAAATGGTGATCTTTCCAATGGATATTTGGCAATATATATCAAAAGCCTTAATGTCCCAATTCATAATTATCTTTCTAATATTTTTTAATCTGAATGTAAGTAGGTATGTAATCAGGAGTAATTTTTAGCTGCAGAATTTATCCTAGGAAGTAATCAATAGCTGGGTGCAAACTTGTATAAGCGGATATTCATTCAGTTATTATTTTTAATTGTCAGAAATTGGAAACACCATATCCAGCATAGAGACAACAGTCTGCGCATATAGTAAAAAATACCACGTAACCATTAGAAAGCATGTTTATCTGGGGGTAAATAAGGTACAAAGCAGGCTGGCCCCACTTTTGTAAGTCAGGCAATCAAAAATATATGTGACTGTTCAGAATAGATACGAAATGAACAAACATCAAAGTATTTATAGAGACTGTGTGGTGGAAATACAGGTGAATTTGGTTATTTATATTTTTCTGAGTGTGGATTAGTTGCATAATCAGAAAGCAAATGAAGATTTTTTTAACACATTAAACTCTGGTGATTATTGTTGAAAGTGTATTTTTCTCCTATTGAAGAAAAGTTTCTGATGATTTAAATAAATGGAAATTCAATTGACATTTCCCACTTCTATTTCCTATTTGCATCGTGTCTTATTTGGAATCCCCATTGTCAGCATAATCATACAGCAATGAAATTGTACCTTTGAAAAATCCTTTTCATCTTCCTGAGGTCACATACAGAAGATCTGTATTTTCTCACATCATGTCTTGGAGAAGCCCAAACGCTGAGATGTTGATGGTGTATTTGATTTGGCATTTAGCCTTTCAGGGGTCCCTTCCTTTCCTCTGTCTGCTGAGTCATTGTTATCACCCGACTGGTTTTCCTTAACATGGAAGGTCCCCCTCACCACTGCCAGGCTGATGACGCCCTCTCCTGGGCACTGCTGTGGGGGGTGGCAGACAAGGTTGGTACCCAGTGAAACCTCTCTCTCTATAGTCTTTGTTTGACTTAGCAGCCCTACAGAGGCATCCATTTCAGGGATCCATCGGTGAAAGGAAACTGTGGTGGTCGTAAAGCCCATTTTACCCTTTTGGGAATTTACCCTCTCTGGGCCTCAGTTTCTTCATTTGTTCATTCATCAAATTTCTATTAAGGAGCCCTGGTGGCGCAGTGGTCAAGAGCTTGGCTGCTAACCAAAAGGTCGGCAGTTCGAATCCACCAGGCGCTTGTTGGAAACTCTGTGGGGCGGTTCTACTCTGTCTTATAGGGTCACTATGAGTCAGAATCGACTCAATAGCAACAGATTTGTTTTGTCTTTTTCACTCTGCTAAACACTTTTGAGACGGTGGATAGGAAAGATAAAGTCCTTTAATTCTTGGCACCCGTTCATCACAAATTAGAAATTCAATACTTACCTAAGAGAGTTACATGAGAATTCCATCTAACATTGTGCCCAACCCCCAGACTACTTGCTCTCAGTGAAGGCTAATTCATGTTTCCCTTTCTTTTTTCTCTGAAACTTTATCAAACACAGCATTGTCTAGTCTATGCTTGAAGCTCTCCAGAGCACGGATTCCCTCCTTTAACTCTGTGACTTGGGTCTGTTGCCCCTGTACAAGAGCTCTGATGATCCCTCCAGAAGCTTTCAAGGATACCAGAAAAAGAAACATTGCTTCTGTATATCCCAGTGGTTTTGTTGAGAATTAAAACACTGCTTAGTTGGCAGCTGGAAGGGCTGAGGTTATGAGGGGGCCATGGAAGGCCTGATGTTCTGTGATTCAGGCTCTTCCTGAATGAGTAGCCACCTGCTTTAATTCATTCAGCCTCTGGTGCACTTTCTTCTTCTTGTGTTCACCTCAACCTGAACATACAGGCTACCCTCTTCCCACTGAGGCATCTCTTCTAAGGATCTCCTGCCTAGGGCCACCCAACAGGGAGGACCCACAGAGACCATAATGCCCCCCCCCCATTGTCTAGATGAACACAAGCTCAGAGAAGAGATGTGCTAAAAGATATGGTTAGTGACAGACTCCACATCCTGCTCGAAATGTGCTGTTATTATACATGCTATGGGGGATTCTTTGCAATGGAGAACTCTTCCCTTCTGAGGAGAAGACACCAGATTCAGGTGCAGCATGAGGTCGTTGCTGTATGATCCCCTAGAGAGCTAAATGGCAAGGACTATTAACACTATTAGATTTGTATGTGATGTTGGATGAGCCCAGAGTTGGCCAAGGTTTGAGTCAGCAATCCTTTCTCTGCCCGTCTGTCTTATCCATTCTTCCCTCCAGCTGCTGCATTTCCATCTCTCCCCCATATGCTTGGGTTCCACCAGTTGGTAATGAGAATGAATGATTAAGGAGAAGAAGTGGCAGGGGATGGAGAGCAGCAACACCGGGTATAACTCGGAGCTTGCTTCAGAGTAGGGGCACAGGCTGGAGAGATGCATGGAAATACCTCGCACATCACTCCCCCACACCAGCTTCCCTAACTCTAGATCTGGCCCATGTGTGAAAATCCCTGGGGAAGCTCCTGGCATAGGTGTTCTTTTCACACTTACTCATTCTCTAGAGTTGCAGTTGGGAAACAAGGAAATGCCCATGGGAAGAATTTGTAATGAGTCAAGTATGATTAAAAATGAGATTAAGGGATGGTTAGGACTCTTTCTCTTATGATGTCTGGACTCCTGCATTAGCCACATGCTGTTGTATGTTTTACCTTCATTGTTTATTTTGCCTTCCACAGGACCAGCTCTCAGCTGACATGTACAGTTTTGTGGCCAAAGAAATTGACTATGCAAACTACTTTCAAAAGGTAAGGGTCCAGAAAGGTGGGACTGCTCAGTCTGTTTGCAAGAGTCGTGGTGCAGCCAGGAAGGCAGTGTGGGGATGGACTCAGGGGCCCCTTGGTCGAGCACATCACAGAAAAGCCTGGGACTTTGACCCTTCTACCTGTGTGGTTTTCTCTCAAAACCTGAGAAGAAAACCCACCCCCATCTCTGAGAATTATTGCAAGTCTGAACTGCGCCAATGGTTCTCCACTGGAGGTGACTTTGCCCCTTTCCCCAGGGGCCATTTGGCAGTATTTAGAGGCATTTTTGGTTGTCACAATTGTGGAGAAGCTACTGGCATCTAGTGGGCGGAGGCCAAGGATGCTGCTCAACATCATGCAATGCACATGACAGGCCCAAAACAAAGGATTATGCAGCCCAGCACGTCAGTAGTGCGGAGGTGGAGAAATGCTAGTCTATGGTAATGAGGTACTGGTGAAGAAGACTAGGAAGATAATCCCTCATAAAGCATGTGTTTGCTTTCATCCAGCTTTTTTGCCGAAGATGGTGACAGGTAAGTAAATGATGGTTGATGTGGGCTGTTTGCCTGCGTCTTGTCAATGAAAGCAGACCTAGAGAGCAGAGAAACAGGGTCTGAATCATCCACACTTGAAAAAATCTGGTCAGAATATTTAGGACACTGGCCTTTACTGGGGTAAATGCAAGGCAAGTCAAAAGACACTTCTGAGAAAAAAACTATAAACTTAAAAAATTAAAAATGGGAATAGACCTAAAACTTTTCTTTATGATCAGGGAAGTAGTGGAACAATACAGAGAAGAGAAAGGAGGAGAGTTCCTGAAAAGTTTAAAATGCCTTGATGAGTATGGTAGAATAGCTGTGAGCTGTTAGCAATCCTCCCAAATTTTCGTTGGTGATCCAGGAGTTCAGAGGAGCTGATAGGCATTTACTTCTAACTTGGAAAGCATATTTAAAATAGTAGTTTTTTTTTTAAGTATAATCCATTTGTTTCTATTTGTGAAGGTAATACATAATTTTTAATTGTGCTCATGAGGAACCTGTACATAGAACCAAGATGCAGTTATTTGAACAGAGCAAGGGGTTTAAAGTCAGAAAAGGTGTGCATCAAGGTTGTATCCTTTCACCATACTTATTCAGTCTGTATGCTGAGCAAATAATCCAAGAAACAGGGAGTCAAGATTGGAGGAAGACTCATTAACAACCTGCAATATGCAGATGATACAACCTTGTTTACTGAAAGTGAAGAAGACTTGAAGCACTTACTGATGAAGATCAAAGACTAGAGTCTTCAGTATGAATTACACCTCAATATAAAACAAAAATCCTCACAACTAGACTAATAAGCAACATCCTGATAAACAGAAAATATTGAAGTTGTCAAGGATTTCATTTTTTTTGGATCCACAATCATTGCCTGTGTAAGCAGCAGTTAGGAAATCAAAAGACTCATTGCATTGGGCAAATTTGCTGCAAAAGTGTTAAAAAGCAAAGATGCCACTTTGAGGACTGAGGTGTGCCTGACCCAAGCCATAGTGCTTTCAGTCACATCACTTGCATGCGAAAGCTGGAAAATAAATAAGGAAAAATTGACGCCTTTGAATTATGGTGTTGGCAAAGATGATTGAATATACCATGGACTGCCACAAGAATGAACAAGTCTGTCTTGGAAGAAGTACAACCAGAATGCTCCTTAGACGCAACGATGGTGAGACTTCTTCTCACTTACTTTGGACATATTATCAGGAGGGACCAGTCCCTGGAGAAGGGCATCACAGTTGGTAAAGTAGAGGGTCAGCACAATAGAGGAAGACCCTCCACGAGATGGATTGACCCAGTGGCTGCAACAGCGGACTCCAGCATAACAACAATTATGAGGATGGCGCGAGACAGGGCAGTGTTCTGTTGTACACAGGGTTGCTATGAGTCGGAGCCGACTCAATGGCACCTAACAGCAACAAATATATAGTTTTAGAGGTTCTAAAACTAATGGAACCTTTGACATTCTGATCTTTTTTAGACTGATTATCATTTGTATACCATTTATTCTATATTCTGATTTTTAAAACAAAATTCCACATTGTCTTACTTTTGTCCTACTCGAAGATAATAGGATCTTCCCTCTAGATCTGACGTTCACACAGAGTGATTACTCCTCCCCACCCCCAACGCAGTCTCAGTATTTTTGGAGGGGTGGGGAAGGGTTCCAAAAATAAATGAAATAGCCATTGTTCATAGCTTTACGTCTGCTCTTATCAACATTGTAGCAGCTTTTCTATTAATAGGATGGTCAAAGTAGAACACCTTGGAGGAGTTTGTTCTTTGGTCTACATCACTAGCCAGAGCAATTTCACCTCTCAGAAAGCCACAAGCTTTCTGATCAGTTAAATATTATTAATCTAACTTTGTAGCAACCTAGCTATATACAAACTAATGGCATTTAACTGTATCTTGTAGGCAAATGGATTTCTAAATATCTTATCCATAGACACACTTATATCTCTCCTTGTTACCTTTCGCTTGGTGAATGGGGTGTGAGGTGAGGCAATGGTGAACAAGAGCAAGCTCTCTAAGGCAGCCTCCAGCTCTGGTATGGTCCCCCAGTTTCCTTATGGTTCACTTGCCTCCCAAATGTCTACCACCCCTGCTACAGAGGATAAAGAGGAAGCAGGCCCATCATTTTAGGGGGTTGGAGGAGGTAGCAGGGACTCCACTTCATTCCCTTGGGTGCAAGGCAGCCCCTTGAGGCAGGGGCACTCTGCCAGCCACAGCCTAGACTTTCTCACCTTTGGCAGAGAGTAATCCCTGCCCTTGTGTCTTCTCAGCTGATCGAAGTGCAAGCTGAATACCACAGGAAGTCACTGACGCTCCTGCAGGCTGTGCTGCCTCAGATAAAAGCACAGCAGGGTAAGGTGGAGGTGGGAGGTGGGAGCCTGCATCTCTTCCCAGATGAGATGAGCCCCCTTTATTTTGTTCACCCTTACACTCTGCCCAAAGGGTCACATTTAGATGAGCCTCTAGAACTGAATAAGCTGGGGACTTGATCCAGTTACAGTGAAGCAAAGCACACGATGCTTGTCTCTAAGGGGATGATTCAGGGCTGTGTGAATGTGTGTGAGTGTGCATGGGTGTAGATGAGTGTGCATGGGTGTGTGTGTGTTCATGCATGAGTGTTGTGAGTGTAGGTGTGTGTGCATGGGTGTGAGTGCATGCATACAGGTGTGTGTGTAGGTGTGTGTGCATGCATGTAGGGGCGTGGGTGTGGGTAGGTGTGTGAGTGGGTGCATGCATGTGTGTGTATGCATGGATATGTATAGATGTGTGGGTGTGTGCATGCACATGGGTGCGTGTGTGCATGCGTGTGTGTAGGTGTGCATGCGTGTGTGTGTGTGCATGGGTATGTAGGTGTGTGTGTATGCATGTGTATGAGTGTGCATAGGTGTGTGTAGGTATGTGTGTGCATGCACATACATGAGTGTGTGTGTGTGTGTGTGTGTGTGTGTGAGACTGGGTATGCACATGTAACATGACGCCCAGCAGCTTTGGATACAGCTGGTCTGTCATTGGCCTTGCCCTCCCTTCCCACCATCACCCACACAAAAAATGGAGACTCCATTTCTGAGGTAGACTTAGGAGAATCTGAATGGGAAGAGGAAAGAAAGAATCCTGAATCCGTGACCTGACCTGTACTAACTGCTGGCTGGCCCGTTTCTTACCTCTCCCCCATCAGAGGCCTGGGTGGAGAAGCCTTCCTTCGGGAAGCCCCTGGAGGAGCACCTCACCATCAGCGGCCGAGAGATTGCCTTCCCCATCGAGGCATGTGTGACGATGCTGCTTGAGTGCGGGATGCAGGAGGAGGTGGGTCTCGGCACAGCCAAGCCCGCCCTCAGCAGGTCACTTCTCCCACCAGACAGAGCCTTTGTGATTTTTCTCCTCTCCTGTATCTGTCACCCCTTACTTACCTTGGCACTCAGCCCCCTCTCCCACACAACACGTATCAGTCCTGTTTTCTCCCATGAGCCTTCACTCTTCCAGGGAGAGTGGAGGACTGTGGGAGATGCTGTGGTGCTGCTGGGCCGTGAAGAACTTAGGGCCACCCTCCAGCCGGCCTTCATTCTCTCCTCATGTTTAACAGGACTTGGGAGCCCCTGGGTGGTGCAGACAACACATTCGGCTGCTAACTGAAAGATTGGCAGTTTGAGTCCACCCAGAGGTGCCTTTGGAAGAAAGGCCTGGAGATCTACTTTAGAAAATCAGCCACTGAAAACTGTATGGAGCCTGGTTCAACTCTGACACACACAGGGTCACCACGAGTCGGAGTCGACTCAATGTCAACGGGTTTGGGCATGCTACTGATTTTTTTCTTGGACTAATAAGTTTCTTCATTTTAAAAATAGACCTCTTAATCTTTTTGATCATAACTCTTTCTAGAGATCCTGAACATATGATTGATAGAGACATTAGAAAGTACTTTTTAAGAGCCAGCCACGTGTGAAAAAGGTCTACGAGAAGTTGACGGTTGCTGTTTTTATTGCTGTGTAAATCCTTTCCTGGGAGATAGACCTCATCTTTGGCTTCTTACATAGGCTGTTTAAAAGCTGTCATCTTCCTCTGATCTGATTAGTCCATCAGTGTTTATTTAGAGCATGCTGTGCATTCAATACTGAGCAAAGTTGGAAAGAGAATGAGATAGCGGGCTCACAAACTTATTGGGAGAGATGAGTCTGGTATCTGTTAAACAAATGTGATTAATCTAAAATAGTCTAAGTCTTTTGCCCCATATAACTGGAGCAAACTATAAATGCTGCGGAACATTCAAATCCGTGTTGACTGCCTCCTATATGAAAGATCCCTGGGTGGCGCACATAATTTGCACTCAACTACGAACCTAATGGTTGGTGGTTCAGACTCACCCAGCGGCACGGAAGAAAGGCCTGGTGATCTGCTTCCATAAAGATTACAGCAAAGAAAACCCTATGGAGCAGTTCTATTCTGTAACACATGGGGTTGCCATGAGTTGAAATTGATGACGTGGTTTTTTTTCTTTTTGCCTCCCATATCCCAGGCCCTATTCTAGATGCTGGATATGCAAAAGGAATGGGAGTAAATGTTTTTTGACCTTTTTAGGTGCCAGGTGTCTTAGTTACCTAGTGCTGTCATAACAAAAATGCCACAAGTCGGTGGCTTTAAAGAATAGAAATTTATTTTCTCATAGTTCTGGAGGCTCAGAGTCCAGATCAGGATCTCGGTCATGCCGTTTCCTGTGGTGGGCCACTCTCCTGGTTTCTGGGTCTGTTGGTAATCCTTGGTGTTCCTTTAGTCCTCACACGGTGTCTCTCATCCACCCGTGTGTCTGTGTCTGTTCGGCTTTCTGTGTAGGACACCATTCAGAAGGGATGAGGTTCAGGACTCACCCTACCCTGGTGTGACCTCATTAACATTACAAAACAAAACCCTTATTTCAAACTGGTATGGGAGTTAGGACTTTAGCATAACTCTTTGGAGGACACATTCAGTTTATACCACCAGGCATTGCCATGGGTGTTATCCATTAAAAGGTGAGACAGGCTCCACAGTCCCTGAGAGATCCCTTCGTGGAGGAGGTGTGCTGGTCCTTTTATTTCTCCATTGTTTTGTTTTTACAGTATTGAAACTGTTAAACATAGAAAGAGAAGAAAATACACCTCATCACCCACCTTATGGTTGATGTTGTTCATTTCTGTCCCCCATTTTCTGCCCTCCACACCTGTCCTGGATATTCTCAAGCAAATCCCAGACATCATATTATTTCATTTGTGAATACTTGCGTATGTGTCTCTAAAAGATCAGGAATGTTTTTAAATATAGAGGAAAACCTGTGAGAGCTGGAATGTGACAGGACGGCCATGTTTTTCTGAGTCTCACAGGTTTTCTGCCTTTGACAGGGTGTGTCTTACCACTTTTCTGTTGCTTCTTTTAGTTGAAAATATTTGAGTTTTCCTTCTCTGACAAGTTTCTGCCTTAACACAGTTCCAGCTTTCTCAGGTTCTACTGTAACTGTAATAGCATTATTACACCTAAAAAATAACAATATTCATATCAAGTATCTAGTCCATGTAAACTGGTTGTTGGATAGACTCTCTTGTCTTCTGTCTGCTTCCCTAACTTTTTCCCCTCGGCCCTTTATCGGCATTCTGCCTCTCACCAGCCCTCCCTGTCTATCTTGCATCCTCCCCTACTTCTCATCAACTCTTTTCCTTCAGCAACAAATGTGCTCGGGTTTCTGCAGCCTAGGAAACACCTTCCTTCAGCCCTGCTGCGGCCTCATGCTCCTTCCCTTGCTCTTTGGTTCTGTTTTTTGTGCTGCCTGATTAAGAAAAAACGTTTTCTGCTTCTGCATCCTTACCACCACTTACTGCTCTTCTCCCGACAATGCTGCTTCTGCCTTCACCACTGGGCTAAAGCTGCCCTCAGCAATCCTCAAGGACCTCCAGGTTGACACATCCCATGACTTGGTCCGGCCCTGACGGCGTTGCTGCCTGTGACGTTACTCCTCCAGCCCTCCTTGCAGCTTGTTCTCCCTCTGCTTCCTGGCTCAGCTTCTTGCCTCTGGCCACCACGGATTAGATTCTAGGGCTGCCAGAACGAAGTACCATGAACTTGGTGGCTTAAAACAACAGAGATTTATTATTGCACAGTGCTGGAGGCTAGAAGTCTGGATTCAGGGTGCCGGCAAGACCATGCTGTCTCTGAAGGCTCTAGGGAAGACCTGTCCTTGTCTCTCCTGGCTTCTGGTAGCTCCAGGCGTTTCTTAGCCTGTAGCAGCATCATTCCAGTCTCTGCCCTCATCTTCACGTGGCCGTCTTCCCGCTGTGTCTGTCTTGGTCTGTCTTTTTAGAAGGATACCTGTTATATTGGATCAGGACCTAGCCTACTGCAGTATGACCTTCTGTTAACTGATAACATCTGCAAATCCTCTGTTTCCAAACAAGGTCATGTTCCCAGGTGCTGGGGATTAGGGTTTCAGCGTATCTTTTTTGGAGGGTGCAATTTAATCCATAACACACTCAGCGGTGTCAGGAATCTTCATTCACTGTCACCACCAACACACACACACACACACACACACACACACACACACACACACACACTCTCTCACACACACACACACACACTCACACATATACTCACACATTCACACACACACGCACACACACTCACACACACACATACACATTCACACACACACGCACGCACACTCACTCACACACACACACACTCACACACACACACACTCACACACACACATTCACACACACACATACACACACACACATTCACACACACACATATACTCACACACACTCACACACACACACACTCACACACACATACACATTCACACACACTCACACACACACACACTCACACATTCACACACACACATACTCACACACACACACACATACACATTCACACACACACACACACACTCACACATTCACACACACATACTCACACACACACATATACTCACACACACACACACACTCACACACACACACACTCACACATATACTCACACACACACACACTCACACGCACACCCTGTAGACCTTTTCACGTGCAGCTTACTAAACTCCCAAGTCTGACCAGCCCTCACCCAAATTCTTTTCCAAAATATATCTTAAATATACATGAACAAGAAGTCTGAGTGCCCAAGGTTTGTTTCTCCTACACATACTTAATGAACCAATGCCATGTGCTACACCAGGCCCTAGACGCTGAGGACACAGCAGTGGGTAAGACCCAGTTCCTACTCTCAAGCTGCTTATCTCTGAAGACAACGTTTAGAACGCGGCAGCCACAGTACTGAATCCTGGCGTTAGGAAAATGCACCGAGGAAGTCTTGGAGGGGAGGAGCAGGTAGACTGTTTTGTGTTTGCACCTGTAAGTTGCAGGTTGTCCACTGCTCTTTCTGTCCTGTTGGTAGGGACTCTTCCGAGTTGCTCCCTCTGCGTCCAAGCTGAAGAAGCTGAAAGCTGCCCTGGACTGCTGTGTGGTGGATGTGCAGGAGTACTCGGCTGACCCCCATGCCATTGCAGGTGCGTCCATAGCCTCCTAGCCAGGGGCCCCCCTGTGATGTAGGGGCTCCCCTGTGAGGTGGGGGCCCCCTGTGATGTAGGGGCTCCCCTGTGAGGTGGGGGCTCCCCTGTGAGGTAAGGGCTCCCCTGTGATGTAGAGGCTCCCCTGTGAGGTGGGGGTTCCCCTGTGAGGTGGGGGTTCCCCTGTGAGGTAAGGGCTCCCCTGTAAGGTGGGGGCTCCCCTGTGATGTAGAGGCTCCCCTGTGATGTAGATGCTCACGGGGAAGGGGTGAGTGTGAGGGATATGGCTGCATATAGGGACACTGAGCCAGAGGCTCCTCCACATGCTTCTAACATGTCCTCTTAGGGTCCAGCTCCGAGGCCTGGTGCTTATGACGCCTTGAAGGGGGCTTCCTCAGTGTGCCAAGGTGATGGGGGGAAATAAGAGTGGGGAGGCCCAGGAGATGGTCATCCTGGTCCTGCTGCCAGAGCCTCAGATCTGTTCATGTGGGAACCCTTTGACCTTGGCGTATGGTCAGGAAGCCCATCCCCAGATGTGACCCACAGGGCCATGCTGGCTGCTGCGAGCGTGTCTCTGCCACGTCATAACTGCCCGTGGCTAATACTCTCTTTCTGCCAGGAGCTTTGAAGTCTTACCTCCGAGAATTGCCAGAACCTCTCATGACCTTTGAACTGTATGACGAGTGGATTCAGGCTTCCAAGTGAGTACTCAAGTTTTGGGGTGTCTTGTGGACGGGGGTTGACTTGGAAGTATTTACTGAAGTTAGGAGAGCCTGTAACCTGTGTCCTGGTATTTCTCCTGGAAAAGTGCTTGTACCTGAGCCGGAGAGGCATGCTGTAGTTGTTGCGTTGGCTGCCGTGAAGTTGGCCCCTGACTCATAGCAGCCCCATGCATAAAGAGACAAAATGCTGCCTGGTCCTGCACTGTCCCTGTGATTGATTGTGGATCTGACATTATGATCCATAAGGTTTTCACTGGATAATTTTTGGACGTAGGTTGCCAGGCCTTTCTTCCTAGTCTGTCTTAGTCTGGAAGCTCTGCTGAAATCTGTTCAGCATCATAGCAACACGCAAACCTCCACTGACAGACAGCTGGTGGCTGTGCATGAGGTGTATTGACTGAGAAATGAACCGGACTCTCCTGCATGGAAGGCGAGAGTCTACCACTGAACTACCAATGAAGAGGCATGTACAGTTATTTGGAATAACGAAAGCCTAGAAATTACTAAACGTTCATGATTAGGGTGGTGAGGAGTAACTAAAACTGTCATATGTCTGCAGTGTGGCATACTGTGCAACATTTAAAAATAGAGACAGATTTTTTTTTTTATTGTGCTTTACATGAAAGTTTACCGTTCAAGTCAATTTCTCATACAAAAATTTATATACACATTTCTATGTGACCCTAGGTGCTCTCCCTGTAATGTGACAGCATGCTCCTTTCCACCCCGGATTTCCCATGTCCGTTCAACCAGCTTCTGTCCCTCACTGCCTTCTCATCTCACCTCCGAACAGCAGCTGCCCATTTAGTCTCATGTATCTGCTTGAGCTAAGAAGCACTCTCTTCACGAGTCTCACTTTATGTCCCGTAGTCCAGTCTCATCTTTGTGTGAAGAGTTGTCCTCGGGAATGATTTTAGTTCTGGGTTGCCAAGAGAGTCTGGGGGCCATGTCTTCTGGGGTCCCTCCAGTCTCAGACCATTAAGTCTGGTCTTTTTACTGGAATTTGAGTTCTGTACCCCACTTTTTTCTTGCTCTGTCAGGGACCCTCTGTTGTGTTCCCTGTCAGGGCAGTCATTGGTGGTAGCCAGGCACCATCTAGTTCTTCTGGTTTTGGGCTGATGAAGTCTCTGGTTTATGTGGCCCTTTCTGTCTCCTGGGCTAATACTTTCCTTGTGTCTTTGGTGTTCTTCATTCTCCTTTCCTCCTGGTGGGTTGGGACCAATTGATGTATCTTAGATGGCCGCTCGCTAGCTTTTAACACTCCAGATGCCAATGACCAAAGTGGATGCAGAATGTTTTCTTAATAAACTTTGTTATGCCAGTTGACCTAGATGTCCCCTGAAACCATGGTCCCCAGACTCCCGCTCCTGCTATGCTGTCCCTTGAAATGTTTGGTTGTATTTAGGAAATTTCTTAGCCTTTAGTTTAGTCCAGTTGTGCTGACTTCCCCTGTACTGTGTGTTGTCCTTCCCTTCACCTAAGATAATTGTCTACTATCTAGTTACTGAATACACCTCTCCCTCCCTCCCCACCCTCATAACCATCAAAGAATGTTTTCTTCTGTGTTTAAACCATTTCTTGAGTTCTTATAATAGTGGTCTCATACAATATTTGTCCTTTTGTGACTACTTTAACTCAGCATAACGCCTTCCGGATTCATCCATGTTAAGAGATGTTTCGCAGATTCATCGTTGTTCTTTATCATTGCGTAGTATCCCACTGTGTGAATATACCATAATTTGTTTATCCATTCATCTGTTGATGGGCATCTAGGTTGTTTCTATCTTTTTGCTATTGTGAACAGTGCTGCAATGAACATGAGTGTGCATATATCCATTCTTGTCACAGCTCTTATTTCTCTAGGATATATTCCAAGGAGTGGGATTGCTGGATCATATGGTACTTCTATGTCTAGCTTTTCAAGGATGCGCCAAATCAATTTCCAAAGTGGTTGTACCATTTTACATTCCCACCAGCAGTGTATAAGTGTTCCAGACTCTCGACAACCTCTCCAACATTTATTATTTTGTGTTTTTTGGATTAATGCTGTCCTTGTTGGGGTAAGATGGTATCTCATTCTAGTTTTGATTTGCATTTCTCTAATGACTAATGATCGTGAGCATTTCCTAATGTATCTGGTAGCTGCCTGAATGTCGTCTTCGGTGAAGTGCCTGTTCGTCTTGTAGATTTTAGAGATTAGATGCTGAATGGATTTGTCATAGCAAAAATTTTTTTCCAGTCTGTAGGTTGTCTTTTTACTCTTTTGGTGAAGTCTTTTGATGAGCATAAGTGTTTAATTTTTAGGAGCTCCCAGTTATCTAGTTTCTCTTCTGGTGTTTGTGCATTGTTAGTAATGTTTTGCATTCTGTTTATACCATGTATTAGGGCTCCTAGCATTGCCCCTATTTCTTCTTCCATGATGTTTATTGTTTTCGATTTTATATTTAAGTCTTTGATCAATTTTGAGTTAGTTTTTGTACATGGTGTGAGGTATGGGTTTTGTTTCAGTTTTTTGCAGATGGATATCCAGTTATGCCGGCACCGTTTGTTAAAGAGACTGTCTTTTCCCCAATTAATGGAGTTTGGGCCTTTGTCAAATGTCAGCTGCTCATAGGTGGATGAATTTACGTCTGGATTCTCAATTCTGTTCCATTGGTCTGTGTATCTGTTGTACCAGTACCAGGCTGTTTTGACTACCATGGCAGTATAATAGGTTCTAAAATCAGGTAGTGTGAGGCCTCCCACTTTGTTCTTCTTGAGTAATGCTTTACTTATCTGGGGCCTCTTCCCTTTCCATATGAAGTTGGTGATTTGTTTTTCCATCTCGTTAAAAAATCCCACTGGAATTTGGATCAGGATTGCATTGTATCTGTAGGTCACTTTGGGTAGAATAGACATTTTCACAATGTTGAGTCTTCCTATCCATGAGCAAGGTATGTTTTTCCACTTACATAGGTCTCTTTTGGTTTCTTGCAGTAGTGTCTTGTAGTTTTCTTTGTATAGGTCTTTTACATCTCTGGTTAGAGTTATTCCTAAGTGTTTTATCTTCTTGGGGGCTATTGTAAGTGATATTGATTTGGTGATTTCCTCTTGGAAGTTCTCTTTTTTGGTGTAGAGGAATCCAACTGATTTTTGTTATTTATCTTGTATCCTGGTATTTTACTGAAATCTTCTATTAGTTCCAGTAGTTTTCTTGTGGATTCTTTGGTGGTTTTCTGGGTATAACATCATATCATCTGCAAATAGAGATACTTTGACTTCTTCCCTACCAATCTGGATGCCCTTTATTTCTTTTTCTAGCCTAATTGCTCTGGCTAGGACCTCTAGCACAGTGGTGATAAAGGGCATCCTTGTCTAGTTCTTGTTCTCGAGGGGAATGCTTTCAGACTCTCTCCATTTAGGATGTTGTTGGCTGTTGGCTTTGTACAAATGCCCTAATTATGTGGAAGAATTTCCATCTGTTTTCTATTTTGCTGAGAGTTTTTATCATGAATGAGTGTTGGACTTGGTTAAATGCCTTTTCTGCATCAGTTGATAAGATCATGTGGTTCTTGTCTTTTGTTTTAATTATGTGATGGATTACATTGATTGTTTTCCTAACGTTGAACCATCCCTGCATACCTGGTATGAATCCCACTTTGTCACAGTAAATTATTTTTTTGCTATGTTGTTGAATTCTGTTGGCCAGAATTTTGTTGAAGATTTTTGTGTCTATGTTCATGAGGGATATTGGTCTGTAATGTTCTTTTTTTTGTGGTGTCTTTACCTTGTTTTGGTATCAAGGTTATGCTGGCTTCCTTGAGGGAGTTTCGGAGCATTCCGTCCTTTTCTATGCTGTGAAATACCTTTAGTAGTAGTGGCATTAACTGTTCTCTGAAGGTTTGGTAGTATTCTCCAGTGAAACCATCAGGGCCAGGGCTTTTTTTGTTAGAAGTTTTTTAATTACCTTTTCAATCTCTTCTTTTGTTATAGGTTTATTTAGTTGTTCTATCTCTGTATTAGTTTAGGTAGGTAGTGAGTTTCTAGAAATTTGTCCATTTCCTCTAGGTTTTGAAATTTGTTAGAGTACAAATTTTCATAGTATTCTGTTATGATTCTTTTAATTTCAATTGGGTCTCTTGTGATATTACCCATCTCATTTCTTATACCGGTTATTTGCTTCCTCTTCTGTTTTTCTTTTGTCAGTTTGGCCAGTAGTTTATCGATTTTGTTGATCTTTTCAAAGAACCAACTTTTGTTATTGTTAACTCTTTCAATTGTTTTTCAATTTTCTGTTTCATTTAATTCTGCTCTAATTTTTATTATTTGCTTTCTTCTGGTGCCCGAGACCTTCTTTTGCTGCTCTCTTTCTAGTTGTTTGAGTTGTAGGGTTAATGTTTTGATTATGGCCCTTTCTTCTTTTTGGATGGGTGCATTTATTGCTATAAATTGACCTCTGAGTACTGCTTTTGCTGTATCTCCAAGTTTCTTGTAGGATATGTTTTCCTTCTCATTTGATTTTGTGAATTTCTTTATTTGATCATTAATTTCTTCTATAACCCAGTGGTTTTTGAGCAAGGTGTTGTTCAGTTTCCATGGGTTGAATTTTTTTTTCCTTGCTTTTTCTGTTACTGATTTCCACTTTTATGGCTTTATGGTTAGAAAAGATGCTTAGTAATATTTCAACGCTTTGGATTCTGTTAAGGCTTGCTTTATGGCCAGATATGTTGTCAGTTCTGAAGAATGTTCCATGTGCATTGGAAAGGAAAGTACACTTGTCTGCTGTTGGGTGGAGTATTCTGTATATGTCTATGAGGCCAAGTTGATTGATTGTGGCATTTAAATCTTCTGTGTCTTTATTGAGCTTCTTTCTGGATGTTCTGTCCTTCACCGAAAGTGGTGTGTTGAAGTCTCCTAACCTTACTATTGTTGTGGAGCTGTCCGTTTCTCTTTTCAATGCTGTTAGAGTTTGTTCTATGTATTTTTGAGCCCTGTTGTTG